TAGGGCATTGGTTATCATATATGTTTAGAAAAAGTAGAACTTTACAAGATACCAAAAGGCATCAAAGGTTAAAATAATGGGAATGAAACCCAAACAACAGGCAAAAATGAAGTTTGAAAAAGATGAATCAAAAGAATTGCAGTGGGTGGTGAGAGATAGATTTAAGTCCAAGTAAAAATGGTGGGGTGGTGGGGGGAGCTTTTGCTTTTTCATACAAAGTTGGAAACACATCAGAATCTGTCTTTTGTTGTTACAAGTGTGTTTTGGTTCTATTTCTTAATTCAAAGCTCAGTTTTTATTTATGGAAATCAGGAAACAAAAGTAGTATTCCAATTCCTTTATCTGTATTCCCAGCTATGTTCTCTCAAATAAAGTAGTATTCTCAATAATGCAATTGCCAATCTTGGCAGCAATCCGAAGCATGTACATCAAAGAAAAAATCATGCCTAGTGGAAAAGAAATAGAACAATTTTATACAAGAAGAAATATATAGTTAATCATCAATTAATATTTAATATATAGTTAATCCATTATCAATTATTAATTGATGATTAACTATATATTAATTGACATATAATTGTCAATTAATTATAGTTAATCCATTATCTAATATATAGCTAATCACAATTAAAAAGCTCTTTGGCATTTCCTCGAATCATGCTCCATTATCAATAAATAGAAACATATATTATTTAGGCATGCTGATATAAATGTTAGTTTAGATTAATTTTATTCTGGCTATGGTGTCCTTGTGTTTGTTTCTTTGTTTTATTTTTATTTTTGTAGTCTTAAGCATTGACATAGCGGATTCAGAAACTATAAATACAGATATGGTTAACTGAGAGCAATTGACGATGCTTCAAGTAATGCCACCTCCTTCTAATTCTAGTATTCCTACAACTAGTTCTAGAAATAAACGTAAAACATTAGAAGTTTGGAATCATTTTGAGATACATGTTGAGAATAACACTGAGAGGACTAGGTTTAAGGCATGTAGTAAATCTTATGCATATGGTAGTGTCACACATGGGACTAAAATATGAAGGTCATATAGGAAATTGTCCAAACATGCCAACCATGATGGGGTAATTATTGATTGATCATAACCATAGATTGCAAAGTAGGAAGATTAGTCAAGAGACTTATCGTGAATTTATGGCGTTATCAATTATTCAACATAACTATCCATATTCATATGTGGAGAATGAAGGAACTAGGAGAGTCCTTTTGTATGTTTGTAAGGAGCTTGTGCATTATTCTAGGAACATCGCTAAGGCGATTGCTAAAAAATATATGAAAGATGAAGAAAAAAACTAAGCTTGAATTAGGAGGCTTACAAATAGAATATGCTAACTTCTGATGTTGGGACTTCTGGTACAACTGAGGGATATATTTCTTTGACACTCATTATATGATGGAATTGGGAGTTGCAAAGTAAAATACTGAACTTTTGCCATATTCCTCCTCCACACTGGGTTTGTTTTGGCAGAAAATATTATAAATTTCTTGCAAGAGTGGGGAATTGAAAAGAAAGTTTTCTCATATTTTGGATACAATTAGTAATGATAGCATGGAGGATATTTTGAGGAATCAGCTTTATGTGCAGAATGCTTTGTTATGTAGAGGTGAATTTTTCCATGTGCGATGTTTTGCTATCTTGAATCTTATTGTTCAAAAGGGTTAAGAGCTACTAGTGTTGCTTTGAATAGATTTGAGATAGTGTGAAATATATTAAAGCAACCGAGGCTAGGAGAATCAGTTTGGAGAACTTGCTGTACAAATAGAGTGAAAAGCTCAATGGGTTGAGATTGGATGTTTCCACTAATGAATTTGACATTTTAATGCTTGAAAAGCGGTAATATTTCGTCCCGTGTTTGTGGCTTTGTCAACAGTAATCCTAGTTATAAATTTTGTCCATCAAATGAGAATAGGATAGGGGGAGAGATATGCAGTTCTTGAACCTTTTATGATATTACACTTTATTCTCAGGTTCTAAATCCTACAGCAAACTTGTACCTGAAATGTGTATGGGAAATTCAATTGCGTTTAATTGGAGAGGATGTGAGGAGATGTTGTTAAGAGCATGGCAGAACAAATGATCCCAAAATTTATAAAATATTGGATTCTTATAGTTTTGTGTTGACGATTGCAACTATTCTTGCCCCACGTCTCAAGTTTTAGTTTGTGAGTATGCTTTCAACAAAGTTTATGATTCAAATACTGCCGAACGGAAGTTAGAGGTGTTAAGAATAACTTGCAAAAGCTTTTTCAAGCTTACGAGGCTAAATGTTTTAAAGCGTTCTTGCCACCTTCAGTTGTTTCTCTTGCGACTAGTTTTACTTCTAGAGGCGTATAGATCATTCTTCTGTAAGTCACTATACTTTTTAGTTTTTATATTCTTATGATAAATAAAGTATTATTTATTGTTTAATTTTAATTTTTGACACTAATTGTTTAAATGATGTAGGATTTTGATAGCTATGAGAGTGTTTTCATTTCCACTAAGAATCCGAATTAGATCTTTATTGGAAAGATGAGATTTGATCGCATCAAATATCAGAATTTAGATATCCTCGATGATTGGAAGAACAATCGTGATCGTTATCCAATCTTACCATGATGGCTCGTGATATCATGGCAATACCAATAACATCCGTAGCCTCGGAGTCCGCTTTTAGTATTGGCAGTTAAGTGCTTAACAAATATCGAAGCTCACTTCGACCAAAAATGCAGAATCTTTGATATGCATTCGAACTTGGCTATATGGATATGAGTTTGAAGGTAACTGTTACCATAATATTTCATATATTTTATTATTTAAATTTATTAATTTATAGTTGATCATTGTTTTGTAGATGATGAGGTGAATGATGATTCGGATGATGATCTTGATGTGCCATTAATAATCTCGAACTGTGGAATCAAGAGACCTATCACGCCCACTGTAGATGAACATTTGCTGTCCTAAGAATGTTTTTTTGTTGAATATTGGATTATGATTTGTTTTATTTTAGTTGGTATTTAAGTTTATTGACTTATTTGTTTGTTTATGTTATGCGTAATTGTGTATTAGTGATTTTGTATTTGTTTATTTTGGTTGGTATTTATAGTTTTGTATTATATCTATTGTTTGTTTGTTTATGGTTTATTTGTTTATTTGATTCCTATTGGTTTAATTCTAAATTGAATTTAATTTAGACCAGTTGATTTAGGGGGTGTAATTGTAAAATTAAAACTGCGGAATTTTGGGGGTGTAACTGTCAATTGAAAATTATTGAGGTGAAAAAAAACTAAAATCTGGAGAGAGAAAAAAGGTCCACCATTTTGGATCCGTTATCTCGACCCATATAAGGACCCGTACCCATTTGACCAGGACCATACCCGACCCACCCACCCGTTTGGCCAGGTCTAATTATTACTAACATTCCCTCTCAAACAGAATCGTATGGACTAATCCTTCTTCCATATACTCTATGATTACCTGCTCTCTCAAACAGCCACGTAGCTTGTGCTAATTTCTCATGACAACACCGGGTATTTCAGTAAACACTTGGAGCCAGGGAAAAAAAAAACTGCCTGTGTCATATCCAAAAAAGAAAACTGAGTAATGCTACTGCATAATTCCCAGAGCACCATTTCCTGCATAATTTCCTTCCTGCAAAGTTCAAAATTGAACTAGCACACAACAATAACCTTTTCTGCTGATAAACACACTGCATAATCTCAGAGCAGTTTTTCTGCATAATTTCCTGCAGAGGCATACTTTGAACTAGCACACAACAATAACCTTTTCTGCTGAATAATACACCACTGCATAATTCCCAGAGCACAGTTTCCTGGATAATATTATATATACATAGAAATTTTATAGTCAGGACGTCCTGACATAATATTATGAAGACTGTGCATGTATATCATTGAATTTGAGTTATAAAATATGATTTCAAAACTATAAGCTGAATCCAACGGGATTTAAGCATGATCTTGACAAAATAAATTAAATATCACGATGTAAACAACTTACTTGGAACTACTTTTAAAACTCTTCTTTAATTGCAACATCAGATCCCAATAAGAAATTTTTGTGTTTTATCCCAAAGACAGAGGCAGCTAAAGAGACTATTAGTTTATTCCATCAACATTTAAATGTAACAGTGAAAATTATATGGAAGAAACATCACAATGCTAAGTCAATCTCAAGACTAGAAAAACATCCTATAAAAAGCGAAATGGTTTAGACGTCTCTATAGATGATATGGAAATGGTTGAAGTTGAGTCGAACCAGTCCAACTTTTCCACGAAATTTTTAATTAGCTCTCCAACTAAATACGAAACACACGATACCACAACTCCTGTGCTCATGTATTATTTTGATATATGATTTGGGAGATGATTTACTAACATGACATTTGGCAATACCCAGTAGAATAATGCATAGAAAAGAAGCACCCAGAACAGCTTCATACACTTTCTTGTGTGTGTCAAACACTCTTTCTATTATCTTTTTTTTTTTTTTTACCATAGATCTTGATATGCTCTATGCACTAATTATTGTACAACAAATTCACTTATCAATTGAGTACTTATATTTCAGTGTGTTAAGAAAATATTGAGATATATTATTCTTCAAAAAATCGATCCTAATATGATACTACGCTTTACCAATACGATCTTAATGATTTAAAAAAAAAAAAAAAAAAAAAAAAAGGACGAAAGTGGCACAAATATGATGAAAAAGGCAAGTTTGAAAGATATTCTTTGCTTTAGGAATTTTCTAAATTAACAAGCAAAGCACCTCTCTCTCATTACGCATTCATATATACTTTGTCTTTGTCTTTTTCTTTTTATTAAACACTTTCTATTATATCTCCATCTCCATTTTGACTTGGCCCCAAAAAATCCTCAACTCATCATCACTCTCATTTCTTCGTGAGTCTTGAATCTTGTATTTTGATTGTCATCGTATTTGTAGTTTTGATAAAGACGAAAGAAGTGAATAGATGGATCCTATTCAATCATCCAACTCTGGAGTCAAAATCACTGAGATAATGCAAGTTGATTCCAATAAAGAAACTAGGAAATTGGAATGCAAAAGGACTGCTCATGAATCTGGGACAGCACAAGGTATGTGACTTGGATAAAAATTGAAATTTCAAGCATTTCATAATAAATTTTAAAGTCCTTTACATACATTTTCACATCTACATTATTTGGGATTGACAGAGAACAAAAGGACCGAGGTGATAACGGCTGATTATGCTCGGTTCAGGCCATTAATCAAGGCTATACAGGAGTGTAATTGGATACTTTTACAAGATTTGGTAGATAGAACTCCTGGGGCCTTGACGGAAACTGTTTCAAGCCATGAGTATACCATTTTTCACATAATTAATATTTCAAGTGCCCCCACTTGGCTTATAAAGAAGCTTGCATTCAAGATCAGTGCAAAAGAACTTCAAAATTTGAGAGAAGAGAGTGGCTGGCCCGTTATATACCACGCTGCTTTATATGGCAATAGAAAGGCTGTAGAAGCTTATGTCCTTAGGCACCCAGAATTTCCAAACATAAGGAACGAACAGGGTTATCTTCCAATTCATACAGCAGCAGAATGTGGCCACAAGGGATTAATTCAATTTCTTGTGTCAACAACAAAAGAACCATTGGATGACGATAACGGTGCTGAACTGATTAAAGCTCTGATACGTTTCGGTCACTATGGTAAGTGCAAAAGTTATTTTCTTGTTTGCGATACGGTTAGATAACGTTAAATTATCACATTAGAACTTTTTATTATTGATTTAATTTTTAATTTTGGAATTTTATCGTTTAAAAATGGTTGAATATTTTTATTTATTTATTTTTTGTATATTTTGACACCATATCATAATGGTCAATATTGTAAAAGATAATTAATGAGGATATAATTGACTTCTGTATACTATTACTCATTTTATATATATATTAAATTAAATGGTTATCAAACTTATGTACGTGTCATTTTTAAAATTTATGTCCCTTTTAAACATGCATCCTCATTTTGATTTTCTTTGTAAAATAAATCAAAACTTCCTAAGGTAAATTGAGATAAGGAGAAGATCCAAATTCATGTGCATTCAGTTATTACCTTATAATTAATATCTTCTTGCATTATATATAGTCAACTTGTATTGTATGTATGTTAGCATGCATTGAAGCATATCACTGTAGCATCCCTCCAGCACTCAAAGGTTGCTGAAAGGCCTCGTTAATTTACCATTCTTCAAATCCGGAATTTGTATCCTTCTACAGCAAATTAGGTTGATCATATATATTGTCTTTGCTTTCTTTTGTTAGTTTTCTTTCATGTGTTCAACTCAGTGGTCTAGTGGATAGAATTTTTCATCCTAGTGCGACACTATCTATGTTACGGTTTTCATTCTTACAACAAAACAATTGCCCTGCTAATTAATTTGTATTCATGATCTCTACTCCTTTTACAGGTATAGCGTTAGATTTATGGAAGCAATATCCAAAGTTAGCTCTTGAAAACAATTCAGACAGAAAAAGTATATTAAAAATATTGGCTGGTAAGCCTCTAGCTTTTGAAAGTGCGAGTTGGAGTCGCCTTGGGTTTTGGAGACGCTTGATCTATTATTGTTAGTAACAACATTCTTCCTCTCATGCCCTTATAGACTCAGATACACTATAACAAACCCATGTCTTATATTCACATGCTCTTATTGTTGTTGCCTGTCTCTGCAGGGATTCCTCTGCAAGAGGAATATTTTCCTTCCAATGAAAGTAACCATGGGGACATAGAAAACGTGGCTAAGTGTTCAGACGAGTTTAAAGAATCCAAACATTTTGGACCTATTCGTCGAATAATCTATGCTTCATTTGGTTTGTACACCTCTTATCTATCTATCTACCTAGTCTTTCTTAAATTGATTATCCTACAAACCAAAACAATTTATAATACTACTTATTTGTTATAACACAGGTGCTTTGCGCCAAATGATCTGGCATGTCCTCATGCTGCTAGGTAATTGGCATTGAACAATTCTCTTAATTAAATTGAGTATCTTGAAGGAATTCTTTATCTTGTTTCATTGACTTGCGTTGTTCAATTGCAGTCCCAGACATCAAAAACATTCGCGATATAAAGTTGACACATGTACAAACCCTTCAAATTGTTAGAATCGCGTGCCATGGTAATGACGTTACGTGGAATGGTACAGAGGCCGTTAAAACTTTCTTGGTGCCATTTCTTGAAGCTGCAAAACTTGGGATTTGCGAGATTGTCAATGAAATTTTGAATGCTGATTTCTTTGCTTTTTCCTACCGCGACAAAAATAATGAACACGGTCTGCTTCATATGGCAATTTTACATCGCCAAGAAAAGATTTTTAAAATTGTACAAGAAAGGAATGTGTATCTATATACCTGGAAAGCGGTCAACAAATTTGGAAAAACTGACAACATCTTGCATTTGGCTGGACAGTCGGCAGCTTCAAGTCAACTCTCTGGTGCAGCATTGCAAATGCAGAGAGAATTAGAATGGTTCAAGGTGAATATAAAATCCTGCCAATATATATATATATGCATCATCTCAACTATTACAAATTATTATTTTATTAGAATCTTATTCTTGCCTCTACCACTAGTGCCTCGATCTTACATCAGACTGCGGTACTTTCATTTCTCATATAGTATTATAAATTTATAATTGAATGTAAAAGAGATTTAAAAATCTGGCCTATATATGATTTTTATTCTAATTCTAAAGTTTCCTTTATTTTTCTGGCCTCATTAATAATTTTTTTATAATATTAGAGATTTTTTTTTTGATAATCAAATTTATTACTGCTCATGCTTATGCTAGCTAAGGTTTTATCACCATCTCCAGGCTGTAGAAAATTATGTCCATCCATCCCTTCAAGAGCAACAAAATGAGAATAATAAAACTCCTAGAGAAGTCTTTACCGAAGAACACAAGGAATTGCTTAAACAAGGTGAAAAATGGATGAAAGAAACTACTACATCATGCAGTGTTGTAGCTGCATTGATAATAACTGTAGTATTTACAGCAGCTTTCACCGTACCAGGTGGCAACAACAATGATGGGATACCTATTTTCTTGCGTGACACAGCTTTTATAGTTTTTATCATATCAGATGCACTTGCACTCTTTTCTTCCACGGCTTCAGTGTTGATGTTTTTGTCAATCATTACTTCACGTTACTCAGAAGATGACTTTTTGGTGTCACTACCAAGGAGGTTAATCATCCAACTTATCACGCTATTCTTTTCTATTGCAAGCATGATGGTAGCATTTGGTGCAACCCTCTACACATTTCTTTCTCATTCATGGAATTGGGCTGTCATTCCAATTTCGCTACTTGGATTCTTCCCAATGACTTTATTTGTCATTTTGCTATTTCCTTTCTTGCTTGAAATTTACTTTTCCATTTATAAACCAGGCATTTGGCATAACATCAAATAAATAATTCAGGATCTCACTCTTGGCAATACAGCCACAGAAGTTCTTCCTTTAGTGAATAAAGTTGTATGATGTGTTAATTTCATCTCCTATAGTGTGGCAGAGTCATTTACTTTTCTACCATTTGAGACACATCTTAAAATTATTATTATTTTTATTTCCTTGTAAGCAGTTTATGTATTTATCATTCTACTGTTTAATATAATAGGACACCTAAGTTTTGCTTAAAATAATAACAATAATATTCTTTTATTAATTTGGGTTTAAAAATGGCCTAATTTCATTGGTGTATGGCCCAAAGGTGTTGGGCAGACCACAGCCCACTTACATAAATAGAATACTTAATTTGGCACAACAGCAAGGCCCATTTGATCTAAATTACAGCGACTAATGATAATTGTATAAACTAATTACCGACAAATATAAATATCCTTTTCATTTACAAAGAAAGGAGAAATTCCAAATAAAAATAGAAGTTAGATGGAATCTTGGTTAGTAATTGCATTAAATTATGGTAATTTATTTGGTGAACAAATGCAACCTAATATTAAGTCTTATCCTTATTAATAATCATTCTAAGTAAATGTCATTTTACAATGAACAAGTCAATTAATTTATAAACTAACTTAACAGATCTCCTAGGATCACATTTTGAAAGTAGAAAAGAAACTTAAGAAGCTTATAAAACAGGGCTTAATTAAGTTACCCTCTTTTACTATATAGTCTCATACAACAATTCCAATCTCATATTTAGAATTGTCTATGCACTTATTTAGAACTTGAATATGATATATTTTATCACTATAAATCATAGGTAATTCCCGAAATAATCATATTTTGAGTTTTAAAAAAAAAAAAAAAAACCCTCACTTTAAGAAATCATTATACATTTAGTCACACTCTCACTTAAAATGGACTGAATTATCATATTTGGATATCATATTCAACATCAAGTAGGAATTCTTGACAGATTCGATTATCATATGATTATCTAGGACATGGAATATGTCAAACACTCCTCTAGGCTTTTGTATATTGAGTGTGTCAAGCACTCTTTCTAGTATCTTACTTGACCGTAGATCTTGATATGCTCTACGCACTAATTATCATACAACAAATTCAATTATCAATTGAATGCTTATATTTCAATTTGCTAAGAAAAATATCGAGATATATTATTTTTCAAAGAATTGATCTCAATATGATACTACACATTACTAATACGATATAATGATTTAAAAAAGAAAAAAAGAGACGAAAGTGGCACAATTATAATGAAACTAGATGGAAAGCATGCATGTTGTGCTGGTATGTTTATAATGTATTTTTTACATTATTATTGGCTTTTTTGTGTTTTAAATATATATTTTTTATATTGAAGTTCATTTTATATTGAATTGATAATTAAAAAATCAATAAATAAAATATCCACAAATTTAAGTCAAAGTCTATATCATCATGGTTTTTCTCAAATATGTCACCATTTAACATCTGCAACCAAAGTTTAAAACTTAGCCAAGAAAGGCAAAAAAATTTGCAGGATACCCAATAATAAGTCTATAAATCAATCAGAGAAAGAAAAACCTTGCTGAAAAATGTGAACTTTTAATCAAGAGACTTGCAAAGCCAAAGGAAAAAACTGATTTTGATTATTGAGAAGAGAAAATGAATTATTGTTATTATTATTATTATAGAAATAAATAAAAAAAATTAAGAATGTTGAAAACTGATTTTGATTATTGAGAAGAGAAAATGAATTATTGTTATTATTATTATTATAGGAATAAATAAAAAAAATTAAGAATGTTGAAAAGAGAACTCACGTAGAAAGTAACAACAACTCCAGTAGTATAATCTGAACGCAACTTAATTGAAACATTGAAGAAGCCATGAAGATAAAGGTCCTGTGACACAAATCCATTTCCTACAATTAGAATTGACCATCGCATATAGCAAAAAAATTGATGATAGCATCCTAAAAAAGACGATAATTGTAAAACCCACAAAACCCACAAATCAAACAACAAAATCAATCCAAAAGTCAACAAAAAGAGATAGAAAAAATACAATTAAAACTACATATCAATATTTGTTTTCCTTTGTTATCACTTGTTAAGCAGAAGTGCTGTGAGAAATCAGTGAAAAACAGAGGAGTTTAAAGAAGCTGGGGTCTTGTTTGTAATGATTGTATAAGCTGCATGTACTAAGTGTAATTTCTGATTCTAAAAGCACTGCCGTTTCAATTGGCTATATAAGTGCAAATGTACTGTAACAGAAATCAGTTAATAAGATTTCAATCAGTCTTTACTTCGTTCTCCAGTAGCTTCCTCTGCACTTTTCTTCTGCATATTTTTTTTTTTTTTCTTAGTTTTCTCTTTTACCTCTTCAAATCTTTCATGGTATCAGAGCCCTAGACTAACGTCCAAGAAAAAAAAAAATTCATCCTCGATCTTGAATATTCTTGACAGTTTTAAACATGGAGGCTCATAGCTCCAGTTCAAATCTCACTTCTTCAGGAGTTCCACCCAACCTACCTGTCGTCTCTGTAAAACTGCTAGAGAAGAACTATTCGTTCTGGAGATCACAGATCCTGCCGGCCCTGACATCTCATGGTCTCGAAGGCTTTGTTACTGGTGAAAAAGAGTGTCCACCGATGATCTTGTTAGAGAAATCTACTGATATAGGACAGACAGAGAAGAAACAAAACCCTAGCTACCTCACTTGGAAGAAGATTGATCAATTCTTGGTAAGCTGGCTTTACTCCTCAATCTCTGAATCCATGTTTAGGCATGTAGCAAAATGCACTACCTCATATGAAATATGGAATGTTTTAGAGCTGCATTTCCAGTCGGTATCCAAAGCTAGGACTTTACATCTGAGAAACCTACTACAGATTACTAAGAAAGAAGGTTGTAATGTGAGTGAATATGTGTTGAAAATGAAAGAATTAGGAGATGAATTGATAGCAAGTGGAGTGAATATCACAGATGAAGAACTTTTGCTGTATATATTAGACGGCTTAGGGCCAGAGTATGATGCTGTTGTGGCAAATCTAACAGCTTGTAGTAGTCAAACGACATTACAAGAAACCCAATTCTTACTTCATAAACATGAGATTAGGTTGGAGAGACAGCAAAGTTCTTTGTCAAATTTTCATGAACACATGGCTTTAGCCCTTTTGGCTTCTAAACAGTCTCAGATAGAGTCCTCTTTAGGTTCTCAGAATGTTTCTAGTGCTAGTAATGGGAATTTTCGTGCTCATAATTTCACTACTCCTCAGTTTCAATCAATGCCTAATTTTCAACCTTCAGATCAGAATTTCATTCACCAACAGATGCCTAGTAACAACCATTTTAGAGGAAACAGTTTAAACAATACAGTTCACTCGGATTTTAATCCCTCACATTCCTCCCAATACTCACAGACTGGATATGGTTTTAACCCTGGGAACCAGTCTCACATGTTTCATGCTGGAATGATGAGAAGTAGAGGCCGAGGAAGAGGATATTTTAGGCCTAAACTAATCTGTCAAGTATGTGGTAAGGGAGGACACACAGCACTGCAGTGCTATCATAGATTTGATCATGAATATCTAGGTTTCTCAGTCCCTGGATCAGCATCTGGATCTACTAATTTCAATGGTTTCTCAGTACCTGGATCTTCTGGTTTTAATGGAACTACTGGTTTTAATGGGTCACAAAGTTCTACTCCAGATCACTCTACTGAGTCAGCACAAGCTCTTCTTACTACAGTCATGCCAGGGCAATTCATTCCCAGGACTGCTGTTGGAAATCCTAATCCTGGAAATCCTTTTTCATCCATAACCAATGCTCCTACTGCACAGACTAATACACCATTGAACTACCTTGGTTATCCTTTACAACATTCTGTCCCTACTGACCAAAACCATTTATAATAGTAATTATTTGTTATAACACAGGTGCTTTGCGCCAAATGATCTGGCATGTCCTCATGCTGCTAGGTAATTTGCATTGAACAATTCTTTTAATTAAATGGAGTATGTTGAAGGAATTCTTTATCTTGTTTCATTGACTTGAGTTGTTTAATTGCAGTCCCAGACATAAAAAACATTCGCGATATAAAGTTGACACATGTACGAACCCTTAAAATTGTTAGAATCTTGTGTCATGGTAATGACATTACGTGGAACACTACTACAGAGGCCCTTGACACTTTCTTTTTGCCATTTCTTGAAGCTGCAAAACATGGGATTTGCGAGATTGTCAATGAAATTTTGACTGCTGATTTCTATGCTTTTTCCTACCGCTACAAAGATAATCAACACGGCCTGCTTCATATGGCAATTTTACATCGCCAAGAAAAGATTTTTAAAATTGTAAAAGAAAGGAATGTGTATCTATATACCTGGAAAGCGGTCAACAAAGTTGGAAAAACTGACAACCTTTTGCATTTGGCTGGACAGTTGGCAGCTTCAAGTCAAGTCTCTGGTGCAGCATTGCAAATGCAGAAAGAATTACAATGGTTTAAGGTGAATATTTAATCCTGCAAAAAAAAAAAAAAAATAATAATAATAATAAAAATGAAATTATACAACTTATTTTATCATCTTAACTAATACTTCAAATGATTGTTTTTTTGGAATCTTATTCTTGCCTCTAGATGTCTTGATCTTACATCAAACTGCCGTACTTTCATTTCTCATATAGGGTTATAAATTTATAATTCAATGTGTAAGAGATTAGAAATCTGGCCTATATATGATTTTTATTCTAATTCTAAAGTTTCCTTTATTTTTTCTGGCCTCGTCAATAATTTTTTTTTTCATAACATTTAGTTCTTCTATAATATTAGATATTTTTTGTTTGAGAATCTAATTTATTACTGTTCATGCTTACGCTAGCTAAGGTTTTATCTTAGGCTGTGGAAAGTTATGTCCATCCATCCCTTCAAGAGCAACAAAATGAGTACAATAAAACTCCTAGAGAAGTCTTTACCGAAGAACATAAGGAATTGGTTAAACA